CTCTCACCCATCTGGGAATCTTATCAAAGATCTGGGACTCTCACTGGAATTCGAGAAGATGTCAACACAGAGCTAAAAAAGCTTCAAGGACTGGAAGATGAAGCAATGGCTGCAGCTGAAAGGGAAAAACTGTAAGAGAACAGCCTTGTAAACTATCACCCAATAAAAGAACATCTCTGCCTTTCAATCTGTAAGGCAATTACTCCATATCTGTTCTTACTTTTTGCTCTTACTGTCTGCTATGTATGTTTATCTTATCTTGATTTATTGCCTGCTATCTTGATTGTATCTTACTCTTACTATTTTCCTATGCCAAGTTGCCCACCAAGATTTTTAATGAAAGTTTTTAACTTTATTTGTTTGTGGTGAAAGGCATTTCTCTGAAAATAGTTAAAGGGTTTTGGCATCATCAAAAAAGGGGAAATTGTAAGGAATAATTGTAATTAGATTTTGATGATGCTATATTAATTAGGACTTTAGAGTACCCCTCTTTAGAAGTTTGTATTAGAAATTTTCCTTGTAAAGTTTCTTAATATAGTCAACTGACAGAAGACCTCCTGACAGAAGACCCTCTGATAGACTTAGTCTGAACAGAAGACCTTTGGTTCTCTGTTGGTTCATATCCAGACAGAAGACCCCCTGGTTCTTTGTTAGACCTCACTTCAACAGAATCTGTCAAGACCCTCTTGTTGGCTCGCTTTTTATGGAAGACCTAAGGACCCTCTGGTAGCTTATTCCAACAGAAGTGCTCGGGACCTTCTCTGGTTGACCCTCTGCTGAAGACACCAGAAGGCCTGACACTTAGAGAATTTTCATGGAACTAATTTAGCCGGTGAAACCAACGGAAGATTCCTTCAACGGCTAGGAGACTTGAACGGGAAAGCTACAGTACGCGCATTAAATGCACATTTAATGCACGCCGTACCCTGAAGAGTAAAAGCTGATGATTGGCCGACATTTCAGGATAACTTTATCCCAAAATAACAACTCGCCAACTTTGTTAGGTCCTACTGGTCAAGTCAACTGTTCGCACATTTAATGCAGTTGTCCTCCTCCTCCAACGGGAAGACAACCTCAGTATAAGAGATACACTTTGAAGAACAAAAAACAGAGACTATACTACTGAAAGCAAAAATTATTCAAACGCTCAAAGACTTAAACTTCCATTCTTCACGAGCAACACTCTAAAACGTTGGAAAAGATTATAACCTCAATATCTTTTCTTTCCAACGTAAAAAGAATCGTTCCAATTGTTCTTCAACACTTCAAGCTCTTCAACTACATATCCTTTGTAAAGAAGCTAGTTGGAAAACCCTTGTTCTCACAAGAAGAATTCTTCTCCAACGAGAAGGACGTCCAAGTAACTGGAGTAGTGAAGCGGTGATACTTCAAGGAAGCTCAGTGAAAGGACCAGTCTTAAAGGAATCAAGGAAGTGCATCCCAGGAGACATCTAGGCTTGAAGAAGACGTGGAGAGCTTCTTAAGTGCTAGGACTAAGGCTGTGTAATTGGATTTTTTACAAGTTTAGTGGACAGTGGATTAGAGGAACGAGTTGTTCCTTGAACCACTGCAAAAATCTCTGGTGTCATTTACTTACTGCATTTACTTCTTGCATTAACTTTAAACTGTTTACCTCTAGAGATTTGGACTCTGTGTTCAGCAGAACCCTTTCTGTGAGTTAACAGAAGACCTATTGCCTTTGCATCTCTTAGAGGCTAACCGGACAGAACTCCTACCAGAAGATCATCCGCTGCTAGTCTGTTCTGCCAACAGAACAGGCTATTCTGTTAAATCTGGTACTTAGCTTGAAAAAGTTAAAAAACAGTACAGTCTATTCACCCCCCCCCTAGACTGTACCCGGTACAACCGGGACCAACAAGGCCCTTATGGGTTGATGGGCCAGCCCTTGTTGGGCCATTAACCCAACAATGACTAAATACGAACACAACTAAAAGTTATGAGGCTACAACTATAATATCACTAAACGTATTTAGTTAGATGTTATTTAACCCCCCAATACAGGATAGGAGAGGGGGGAGGTAAGAGCGTATTTTTAATATTGTAAGGTTGTAGAACATTATGCGATTTTTTCGATAACTTTAAATACACTTTATTTCGTGTTTGGGTATCCGATCAAGGTATTTTTGTAAAGTACATATTTCCGAGATCTATGCATCAATATATGTTGAAAGGGCTAATAGTGTTTCTACAAATTTTGACTTTTCTTGTGCTTTATAACTTATTTTTAAAAGGATGTTTTTACTTGGACTTATTATAGTCTCAAACAAGACTAGATCAAACCATTTCAGATCAGACAAAAAAACAATCCAAGTAAAAACATCTTAAGTATCAAATTGTAAAGAAAAAAATTGTATCAATCGAATACTCTAGTGCATAATTACAATATATCCTGCAAGTATTGCGTATATTTAGTAGTTCACATACTATTGAATATAAAATTACAAGAGCTATCAATAGAAACTACTTTTATATGAATTTTTTAGATTATATATACCATAAGTAACATATATGCACTAAGAATCTTTAAAAAATGTAGTAAGAATCTTCAATCGCTTAATGGTTTGGAAGTGGATAATGGATTTGTGCATGTTCCGGTGTGAGTTTAAGGTCACAGCTTCGGAACTCGTAGGAGGCGGATTAAGAGACAGCAAGGTGGATTCATTTTTTTTTAAAAAAAAGACTTTTTGTTGTGGTTATTGGTTTAACCACAACAAAAAGTTTTAATTTCTACAATAGATTGGTCATGTAGGTTAAGATAATGTTGTAGGTTTACTCTACACTTTATGAAAAGTATGACGTTTTTCGTACTATATAGCAGTATTATATACTTTATTAAAGTGTAGTATAGTTGCTTTTAGGATAAAATTCTTCCAAAAATAAAAATGTGACAATTAGTTTGATACAACTCGAAAAGGAATGCGAGATAGATAAAGGGGTGTTTGGAAAATGGGGGTTTGGCCTCTTTTAGCGTTTTCAATGAGTGAAAACGTTGTTTAGTAAATGGTTGTTCAGCCCTAGCGGTTTTGGGCGGAACCGCTGAAATAGAAACGCTGCAAATAAGAGAGTTATGGGTTGGCGTTTTGAAATATGACATTTTCAACTAATTGTTATAGTGAAACAGCTAAATTATCAAACATTTTCTGACAATCCACCAACTTAATCCGCTAGTCAAATCTGCTGATTGAATCTGTTATTGACAGCCCGCTAACATAATCCGCTAAATGTCAGACACACACAAAGTGATATGGAGAAAGTAGTATAAAATAGTGTAATGAGTTAATAACACGTTGAGTGAGTTCTATTTTATACTTACTTCGTTCATTTCTAATTAGGTTTCACATTTGACGATGCATAACTTTGATCATTGGTATATTTTATTCCTTGTTAATAAATAAAATAGAAATTCAGATTTTGAAAATTCTGAAATCGACAAGATTCTTCATATAAAAATGAAAATTATTTATTAACAGTATTTAGAATATTCTTCAAATTATTAATACGACAATATTCTTCAAATTAAAATTCTGAAATTGACAATATTTTTTTCTGAACAATTATTAATATTTTTTATGATGGAGTGAAATGAAGAGATAAGAGTAAATTGAAAATTGTCATATTGATAAGTTTGTATTTAGACACGCATTTGATGCATGTTTAGATCGACTTTTGATGGTTTCCCTAATTATTTTGTGTCGCAAGTCTCAATTTTAGATCAAGTTATGTTATCAGGCGTTGGTTCGAGTTTTATGTCTTTTGGACTCAAAATCAGGGAATTTGAGCCCAGCACTGGCGCTTGAGAAGCAATCAGGACGATTTGAGAAGAATTTGAGAGTGAACTGAGATCTTTGGAGGTCACCGGGAGGTTCACAATGAATATTTGATGACAAAAGAGCTTTAGGATTGGCTACGAGATCAAAAGAAGATGAATAGAGTTTGAAAATGACGATCAGGATGACCTTCTGTCAATCGTTCAAGCATATCTCTTTGTACAAGCATCCAAAGGACACTATTCAAGTCCCATATGAAAGACAACGTCAAGTGATACAAATCATATGAAGACATTATTGCGAGAATCTGAGAGGAAAAATGTGAAAATAGACGATGAAGTCAGATGATCCCTGTTTCAATTTCAGAATGAGAACTTCCACCATTTTATTTATATCTCTTGATTGGATGATTCAAATCCAATTCGGGAAGTTGTGGTGGATAGCGGACTTCATTATCTACAATGTTCATAAAGGAAGTTTTGTCAAATTCGGAATAGAGTAGCTGGAAAACTCACTGGAAACCACGCACGCGTGCGTCCAACATTTTTACGCACAAGTCTGTCGGACGCCACGCACACGTGCGTGGGCGCCGTGCGTGCTCTGTTTCAGTCCTAATTCAACCCGATTGCTTCGTTTTTCCTATTTAAACAGCCTGTAAACCCCTATTTTGAGGGGAGGCTTAGAGAGGGTGCCTAGCACGAAATTTAGAGAGATTTTCAGCCGTGTTCATCAATCTTTGGGGATTCTTTGTAAGTTCCATCTTTTTAATTAATGAAAATTTTAATTCTCTTCATAAATTTGAATTAAAAATTTGAGACAACTTGTTTCCACGACTTAAGATATACCAACAAAAAAAGTTTATGATTGAAGAAAAATAATAAATAAAAATAACTTTTTCATTAAATATTTATCATTAATACTTTTCAAAGGAGAATGCGAGAAACTTTCAACGATGTTCGTGTGAGTATTTCACGTGAATGCTCAAATGTCATATTTTATAAAATTAGTCAATTATAATTACTATGGTTTTCAATATTCTTTCAAAGTATAACCAAATTTTATTAATGATAGATTATTAATTTCATATCTACATATATCTACACATCAAGTTAAAGAAGATCCTCTCTTCATTTTTAGTATTTTCTTATCATTTTAATGATTTTTTACTTGGTTCTTTCTCATTTTTGATAGTTTAAATGTTACATTTTTTCTCTTTCACACTTTTATAAGTTAAATAATCTTCTCACACTAGTTTCTCATTACATATTATATAACAATGAATTTATAACAAAACACCAATAGCTAGTATACATTTACATATAATTCCTAATATACAATCGGATAATTAATAAATTTAATAATTTGCTACATAATCACGATCCGATTTATTTTTTGATCTGCTACGATATTGAAGTTGAATGATATAATATGTTTGGCCTGCCTGCCAGCCAGCAAATATTCGTGTCGAGCTGGAGTGGTGTGGACTGCTAGCCCAAACATGCATATAGTACATAACATATTGGCTCGATCATATATAGCTTAAACTAGTCATGATAGCAACCTATGACGCGGCCAGCTGATTACCACGTATACAAACATCCAACAACACAAGCTTTGATACTCTAATCGCTTCACCTGTATATATGTTCAAATTAAATTATTGCAAATCAGTAGCACAGTGCAACTTTGGATATGATATTAGATATGCACGTGTTGAGGAATTAAAGCATCGTTTACGAGAAGGATTTATCACAAAACACAAATGGATATGACACGACCACAAGTTCTACCTAAAAACTCTAAAAACAAAACTTCACAAATCTTTCAAGGATATTATACAAATTTTCTTTCTTGTGTTACGAAGATAAATGATCTAATATCTCATAGGGGGGAATCATTACAAGCCTATCTATTCATAGGACCAAAAGCAGGAGGGATGAAACCAAGAGAAAGGTGTGAGGAAACTTGGAAAAAGTATCAGTGGTGGGTGAGAAAAGGTGACTCCCATGTGGGATGAAGTTTCTTTATAAGATGAGTTGTTGATTAATCATCTCGCATATCCAGTGAGATCAAAAATCAATGTGTTTTGTACATGAATGATACATGCAGTTCTTGCTCACGTTTAGAGCACTCTCAGTGTCACAATGAACCTTATACTCCTTTGGCTACACTATAAGTTATTGGAGATGATAGTATAAAATTGTTATTGTTTTTGTTTGTAATTTTAACTAGTTTTATTTGTTGTTGTTTGGGAAATTACACACTTTTGGTGTAATACTTTATTTTTCCTAGTTACTTGTAATTTGTATAGATTAGGGATTTTCTGAGCATAAACTAGGTAAAGATCATCAAAAGGATCGTCGAAAGGTCAAGGAAAGTGCAAGGGAACATGAGAAAGTGAAAATTTGGGAAAATAGTCAAAAACCCGACCGGGTTTTCCAAAAACCCGATCAGGTTCGACTTGACCCGAAGATCAAATTTTGATTTGGAGGCAATTAAACGTGCAGGGCGAAGATTTGGCAAAGATTTATCTTTTACCCGATCGGGTAAATTAAAACCCCGATCAGGTAGATGTGACTAATGAAGATTCCGGGCACTTACTCAAGAAACCCGATCGGGTTTCTGAAAAACCCGATCGGGTAAATGACCCTGCCACCTCCAAACACCTATAAATACACCCATTTTCCTTCCCATTTGATCATCCCTTCTTCCATACTCTTAAGCTCAGTTTAGAATAGCATTTCTTTATATTTTTCTAGCTATGTTTACTCTCCAAATGAGGAGCTAAACTTCCAATTCTTGGTGTTGCTCTTGAAGCTTGTTGATTATTAAAGTTGTGAGTTATTTTCTTAACTTCTTTCCTTGAATATTAATTAATAGTTCTTTCCTTAATACTATCTCTATATTAATGTTGGGGAGTGTTGCTAAGATGACAATTAGTTAACATCTCGACATTAGTTAGAGTAGTATTTTCTTCCTCTATATTAATGTTGGGGAGTGTTGCTAAGATGACAATTAGTTAACATCTTGATATTAATTATAGTAGGATTCATCTCCTTTAATAATATTCTTCCTTGAATATTAATTAATTCCTATTCATATTTCATATTAATATTTTGAACATTACTTAAAGGATCAACTAGTTTTGTTTCATATATTAATTATTACTAGAAACGATCGGCGAACCGATGGTTAATCGTTGATGGTTTCACAAGTAAGTAACTTCGGTTTATTAATGCACGGTCGTGGTTGATAAACTTGAGAGGGAATAAGTTTTAGATATAACGATGATCGACTAAAATATATCAACAAGTGGAAAGTAGCAATGCCAAGTTCTTTTATCTTTGAATTAAAACACATATAGGTTGTTCATCTTAATTTTTAAATTAAATCATCCAATCCCAAAACCCCCCTTTTATTTACTAGTTTCATAAAAAAGAGAATTATTCCTTTCCCTGTGGATTCGAACTCTACTTCACCTATACTACGTATTAGTGCTAGTATTGAATTTATTTTGACGCACCGTGACAAAGTGTACGTCAGGAGACAACGTTGTAACCACAACCTTTCTTGACCAGCTTTAGCGGCAGTAATGTATTCTACTTTTTTTGTAGATAAAGGGAACCTTTCCCTTTATTTTTGCAATCTTGATTGTCGAGAATAGCCCTTTTGTAAGAGTGCAGTGATATCTTGATGTATACTTTCTACAATCAATATATTCATCCATATCAGCATTTGTAATGCCTTTCAAGATTGGATCAACTCATCTGTAACAAATACATAACTTCTCGGTGCCCTTCAAGTACTTGAGAATCCATTTGAATACCTCCCAATTATGTGACCATGTGCATACCATGGATACATCAAACTTCCAACTGCTAAAAAATATGGCACCACTAACATCATCATGATCTCATCCTTAGATGTGGAGAATATTTTTTTTCTCATCTTGAAGTTATTCTCAAGTGAAATACTAACTGGTTTGACATCATTCATGTTGAATCTATCAAGTACATGTTCAATATATTTCTCCTGAGATAGACATAACTTGTGGTTCTTTGTGTCTCAAATGATCTGCACCCTAAGAATATATTGATCTGGTCTTAAGTCTTTCACAACAAAAGACTTAGAGAGTTCTTTTTTAGATTTTCTTCTAATTAAATTTTAATTTTATGGGTAACACCCCATAATTTTTTTATAGTTCTAATGTCTTGTATTTTGAGAAGGTATGCCTTCTCTGGAAAGGTTCTGGCCTAGTCCCCCTTTCCATTTATATTGGCTCTTTATCATTTTAATAAAAAAATGTCTACATATAGTTAAAGAGAAATGAATGTACCATTTAGAAGTCTCTTGATGTAAATTAAACACATTATCATCCGCAATAGTCTTCTTGCGATCTTTACTCTTCATGCATGAGTCAACTTTTATTTCACTGCCTTGGGCCTACTTCAGACCATACAAGCTTTTAGATAGCTTGCACACGAAGTTATTACTTAAAACCTCAAAACCTTCTGGTTGTTGTATATAAAATTCTTTCTTCATATCTTCGTGAAGAAATGTTGCCTTCAAGTCCATATGTTCAACTCCAAGTTCGTAATTCATGGTAATACAAGTGTAACTCAAATTAAGACTATCTTCACAATCGGTGGAAATACATCCTCAAAGCCGATTCCTTTCTTTTGCTTAAACCGTTTGACCATCAATTGAACTTTGTGTTCCAGTTGCCCCCTTTCATCATCCTTTAACTTAAACAACCATTTATTTCTTAGTGTCTCCATCCCAAAGTTATATGATCTCATAGTTTTTGTTTTTTTGCAGATATATCAACTCATCTTGCATTGCTATGAGCCATTTTATTTTATATTTATGAGACATTGCTTCTTGAAAATTTCTGAGAAGCATCATTAATAAAAATCTGGAAGTATCCGCTTCCCTCGAGTGATTCAACCTTCATGCAACGACATCAGCGTGTTCCAAATTTTACAACTCTGATCTTTTTGTTGAAGTGAAATTAAATGAGACAATGTGTTACTTATCGAATAGACAATGATCACAAGGACCCAGTGCAATGTTCTTATCAATGTTGTTAAGCTTTTTCTTCATCAAAGTAGTCGACCCTTTCTCACTCATGTGGACGAGTCTCTCTTGTCGTAGATTCTAAGAAGCCTCATCTGCAACATTGAGGGTGTCAAAACAATTTTTCAAATAGTTTTGTACAATGCGTCAGAAACATGTCCTCGAGCAATTGTTAAAACACTCTTATGACAATTTTTATGTACTTGTACTGAGATGGTTGTAATAGCTTTTTGTTAAGAGATACCACTGATAGGACATTGGGTGGAAGTTCCAGCACATGTTTGGCATCCTTCAGAGTATTTGTGTTCTGGGTACTTGTCTTTACATGGATGCCACTGATTTTAGACATTTTGGAGGAGCTAGAATTACCCATATGTCATTATTCCAAAGTCTCTAGATTTGTATGTTATGAAGCTATCCTAATGAGGAGTTATGTGGTAGGGCGTTGCAGTATCCACCACCCATTACAGTCTTCTCTTGAGATGTGAAGGTGTGTCTCATCATGGGTAGTACAACATGTTACATCACTTGAGATTGTGATGAGCGCTTCATTGTCATTGTTATTCAATTGAGAACAACTATTGCCTCGCTCCTCTAGCCATTTTTCATAACTCTTTTTCATGTGACCCTCTACACCACAATGGTTGAAGGTATAAGATGTTTTACTACCATTTGATGATCTCCCCAGCCTTTTGCCTCTACTTTTCCATGTCCCTCTACTTTTTCTTCATTTCTTTCCCTATGATCTTCCTCGATTCTCCATCACAAGGGCATGAGTCTCATTCGTGCTCATCTTTCTTTCTTGCCTGTTCATTTAACAATGCATCCTTGACCATAAACATGGTAAGTTTTCCATTTGGGGTGGAGTGGTTGGAAGTAAAAACTAGTGTTTTCCGGCTATTAGGAAGGGATTTGGAAGTACATGGAATTGCGTTTTGTCTCGAGTGGCATTTCAACGCAAGATAAATAATTTACTAGAAATCGAAACTCACTAGTATACTTTTGAACTTCATTTTTAAAAGGCTCATCATCCGTAGTGTCTTGTCCCTAGCAATCTTGGTGGGAGACACTATGGTCAATTCATTGTATTCTCACATTTGACCAATTGTTGTTTCTATTTATATACTTAATTCTAATCTATTGACTCAGGCGAGTAAGGATCAATACCCATCAACTATGTTGGATCAAATAGATCTTTACAGTTGAGAATTTCTTCTATTTTAGGATTCCACAGTGTGTGTTTGGTAGCTGTGAGGTTAGTCATATCTTTCAGAAGACCAAGTTGAGTCATCAATGTAGCATAATTTTAAAAAAACGAGCACCATAGTTGCTTCCCAAACAGCTGAAGATGGTAAGGTGGGCACTTTTGGAGACAAAATAGCATTTCCAAAGAGTTATTAATTGAAAATGTAATCTTAAAAAAATCGAAGTACCAAACTACATCATTTCAAAATTATAGAACTGACCAGTGATGTGGCAAATGAGGGGCTGAGATGTGGCCCTAATTTACGATTGGCTAGACACTTTCCTAGCAATTGACGTAGGAGCAGAGTAGGTGGATGACATGAGAGTTGACTAGGCGGAGTTGTCTGTGTGTTGTTAACATGTCAGTGATGTGGCATTGGGTCGCTGTTGACACCATCGATAATGTGGTCATCTTCTATGTGTAGTCGACATGTGGTGCACATGGCTGAAAATAATCACACTCTTTGGCACGCGTCGTGGCTTTCGATGTCCGATTGGTCGTTAGAAAATACCAATTTTCTGTTCTCGACAAGATGGATATGATGTTATGGTTAGATTTCAATTCCGAGCAAAACTTAAAACTACAAATTTTCAAAAGGTGTTGTTTCTTTTGAAAGATTCTGGAAAAAATATATCAATACCTCGACTAGGATTTCCATTCTTGATTTGGCATACCCAAAGAATCTACCTTAAGTTCAAATGTAGTACACTTTTAATTCGCACCAAGAAAGACCTGCCGATGCTAGGACCCCTCCATCTTTCCGCTTGGTGCTGTAAAATCTACTTCAGTGAGAGTCACTACACCATTAACCCTAGGGGAGTTCTACGGTACACCCGTTAGTTTGATTGTACCGTACGCGGACCAATAATATTATAGGACATGGAAAATAATTAAAATATATATGAATTTTAATGTCCATGTGGCATTGTTTTATTTGGCTAGGTAAGGGAAATTTAGAGATCACCATAGAATTTAGCTTAATCCTATCTAATTACCGAATACGGTATAAAATTATGTGGACGGCTAACTGCACCAAAATGGTAGTTGCTTTTTCCTTTGAATGAATGGCACTGGCTGGTTTCCGTCATTCCAATTATCAAACGCCAACTATCTTTTTTTTGTACTCGGCTTTTTAACTTTGCTGGACCTTTTACAAAAAGGTAGCTAGGATTGGTCCCAACCCAAAGTAATTCGGACATAATTAAAATGAACATAGTGGAATGAAAAGACTTAAACATCTCAAAATGATAAGTGTGGAAACATCTCAAAATGATAAGTGTGGGAAAAAAATTTAAAAACGGATAGAATACATCCTTAAATAAATACAACATTTATACACATGTTCTATTTTGATTATGTTTATACTTCCTTCGTTCTTTAATTCTTGCAACATTGTGATTTTTGCACTATTCACATATTTTACTTTGATCACAATTTTCTACTAATATAGATAATCAAATTATTACATATAAAATGTTATTGAATTCCTATCAATGTGAATTTCCAATATATCAACTTTTTATAATGTTTACTAATACATAATTAAATATAACTACAGTCAAAGTTGTGCGTTTGGCAAACGTGAAAGTCAAACTGTTGCAAGATTTAAAGAACCGGAGAATAGTATTTATTATTTATTACGTAATAATTTGTTTCTTGAAAAAATATTGTTAGATCGATTCTTGTGAATGTAACTTTTCAAATTTTGATTTTTTAAAACTTTTTTCCTCATAATAAGGTATGGATGGACGTACGTACCAGATGAGTTGCAGAAGAAAATGTAGTGTTTGGTGGAGTGGAGGTGAAGGGAGGGTAATAATTACTTTCAGCCGCATTGGGTTGTGACGTCGCCGTCGTCCTCGGACCAATGCCAACAACGTTATAAGCCATAGTCCCGTCGGGGCGGAAGAGACCATAGTTTCTCTCCGATGCGGGCCCCGGCTTCATATCTTCATTGAACAGCGCGAACACGTACACTTCCAATCTCACGTTCGGCCTCAGCGGCGTCCCTTCATCTGCCGCCTGCCGCCTCATCAGGTTCTGGTTGTAAATGGCCGCGTTCTCCGGCGTCGCCCCGCTCTCCTCGGGCCCACCCTTGGACGGCCACCCCGTCTCGGACACCCTCACCTCCACGCCGCCGAACCCCATCCGGTAAATGGCGAAGATCACGGCGTCCACTTGGGCGTACAGCATGTTGTCGTAGTGCAGCCCGGTCAGCGGGTCAACGGTGCCGCCGTTGGGGTTGAACAGGATGTAGTCCAGCGAGATCATGCGGCTGTCGTCCTTGTAGGCGAAGTAAGGGTAGGCGTTGATCCAGAAGGGCGAGTTGGTCTCCGCCAGGAACTGCAAGAACTGCTGCATGACGCCGCCGAGCTCCGGGAGGAAGCTGCCGGCGGAGGGCGGGAAGGAACTGGAGAGGACGGCGGCGGAGCAAGGGGAGGAGACGTGGATTGTGCGGTGGAGGCCGCCGTGCAGGGCGAGGGCCGCGCGGATGTTGAGCATGGCGGGGACGAGGTAGGGGAGGGCGGCGCCGCCGTATGTGAGGACCTCGTTACCGACGGCGATGCCGGTGATGTTGGTGGCGGGGATGTAAGGGAGGATGCGGGAGGCGACCCACTGGAGGGCGGGCTGGGGATCGGCGGCGCCGAGGAGGGGGAGCATTTCGTTCTCGAGGGTGACGATGAGCTGGACGTTGGAGTGGGCGAAAGCGGTGAGGATGCGAGGGTTGGTGTCGTAGATTCTGGCCCTCTCCATCTTCAGAGACTGCAACAGTTGCAGCACTTTCTCCGGCGCAGGCAAATTGTTGCCGACCTGCCCATAGTTTATGCCGATGCGGCATTCCGCTTCAATCACAAAATCACCTGGTGAGAGCAAAATTAGAGACAATCCGAGAAGAAGAAGAAGAAGAAGTGGGAACGACATGGCGATATGATCGATTCTTCTAACTGAAGTAATGTACCCGGCCTTGCCTACTGCAAATGATCTATCGATTATGAAAACTGAAAAGAATCGGGGGCCCTCGTATACGTACTACAAAGTGGGCTAACGAGAATCGACTTAATGATCACACCCCAAATTATAAAAAATGGTTCATCTCTTTCGTATTAAATTGATAAATTAACAATAAAGTAAGAATTATTTAGAGTCACATAAATTTATCAAATTTGGTATGAGACAATCTTAATAGGACGGACCCATAAGGTAAAATGAGACAATAATAGCGGGACAGAAGAAATATATACGGAGTGTGGTCCAATTTAGGAAAGTAAAGACTAAACCTTTTAAATATTCTAATTTACTTTTCCAGAACCCTTATTATTTACTCCCTTCGTTTCACAATCTTTGACACAGTTTAACTTATCAAGAATTAAGGAAAAAATGTTACTGAGGGGTAAATTTTACTGCAGAGTACACTGTTTGGCACTTTTTGAACACTGTTTGACACTGCTTTGCATTGTTTTGCACTGTTTTGGTAAAGATTTGTTTACCAAATAAAGAAATAAAGAAGTGTGTCAATCTTTTTTAAACAACCAAAAAAGGGAAGTGTGTCAAAGAAACTGAAATGGAGGGAGTATATGATAATTTTCTTCCAAGTACGTTATTAATATTACTAGTGTTCGGTTATTCGCATATAAATTTGAACATTTTTCCTTGTTTGTGCACAAAATTACTATTACTCACCATTTTTTTATGTTTTTCAACATTTGTTAATTTTTGTGCTTTAAATATTAACTATTGTGTATTTCAAATGATTACATTTTAAGCGCATCAATGCTATTAACTCGTGCATTAAATTGTTATTTATTTTCTATATATTTATTGTGTGTCAAATATCAATTGTTGTGTGTTATACGTGTCTAACACGGTTAAATACGTATATATATTGTTATACGTATTGTGTGTTAGATGTTGGTTCTTGTGCATTAGATAACGACTCTTGTGCGTTAGATACGTATCTAACCACTAATATTTCTTGTGCATTAGATATTGATTCTTGTGTGTCATATATTAGTTTAAATTGTGTGAAATCCTTATACATTGGATATTAATTAGTTTTTAATTGTTGTATGTCAGATATTGTTCTTTGTGCATTATATATTTGGTTTTGTGCTTAAGATACTTGTTTTAGTTTTTCTTACACGTATTGTTCTTTAAAATACAGACAATACCAGATAACACCAGATAACACCAAACTTCTATAGTTATAAAATACGCTGAGATCAGACATTCATGACCAGTCCAGCAAATTAAGAAAATTCTTGTTTTAATTGTTTTACTGTTTACACATGTCAGTTTGGCCTGTTAACAGTGTTTTGACGGAGAAAAAGAATGTCTGCACAAACACATGTACAAACGTGTTAACGGCTTAGAGTCCGTACGTATATGTGTGAAATATACATGCACTCTTTTTTTCGAGATTATAAAGTTTCAGTGGTGCTCAATACCTAAATACTTCCTCGGTCTCTTTTTTATTGCAACAGTCAACATTTTACGTTTGTCAACGCACAATTTTGACCGTCATTATATTTAATTCTGTATTAGTAAAAATAAAATAAAATTTAGGTTATAAAACTTAGTAATGAGACGAATTTAACAACATTTTTCAAAAATAATAATTCACAAACATTAATAAATAAAATGTAGTCAAAGTAAAGTACATGAATAGTGTATATATTCCAATGTTGCAATTAATGAGATACGGAGGATAATATATACGGACTAGATTCATTCATTACTAATGTCTAAAATATGCCCATTATATCCCATTACTCCCTCCGTCCCTAATCTTTCTCCCTTTTCGGCTGGGCACATTTATTAAGATAGTGGGATTTGTGTGGTGGAGAGTTGTGCAGAGGAGAGAGAAATGTGTAAGAATGTGTAAGAATGGTTGTGAACCACAAATTTTTTGCTAAAAGGGGGAAATTTGAAGATAATTTTGGGACGGACGAAAAAGGTAAGTTTGAAGATAATTTAGGGACGGAGGGAGTACATTTTTTTTCCTATCGACTCCATCATCAAATCTTTTGATTCAATGTCACAGACTTACGGGTTATCCACTTATTCTCTTTTTTGGTGTCATTTGACTCATTTCATTAAGGATGGGGCAGGCTTGGACCATTCTCAAGAGTCCCCACACTTTCTTCCTGCAAAAGAAAGGTGGCAATCCGCAATAGTTATCATACTTTTTTGGTACACTAGGAAAGCTAACGTATACTTGCTCCCGTCCTAAATAAATTTTTTGACTTCACATAAATTAAGGAAAAAAAATTGACTTTACTGTAGAGTACACTGTTGTGACACTGTTTGACACTATTTGACAATATTTAGCACTGCTTGACACTGTTTTGATGTAGATAATTTGCCAAATAAGGAAGGGAGAAGAAGTGTGAACTTTATTTTGGACAGATCCAAAAAGGAAAGTGTGAACTTTATTTAGGACCGGAGGGAGTACATCATATATAATGGCTTGAACATGGCTTGATGAGTAAATATTATCGAATTTCATTGAAATTCGAATAAAAATAATGTAAAATTTCAAAATAAGTTTTCTCTATATAGGAGTACTAATGAAACCTAAACTAATATTATTATTCTGTGTACATTTTTGTATCATATATGTATGAGTATTATACCATACGTACTAACATTATCACCTTAGTTAGTTAATAGATATTTATCTCACAGTTAGATAATTATCCAATACACATTTGTAGCTTGTATCCATGTATATATTCTCCTAATCGTATCAATGAAGGTATGCAATCATTGCTATCATTTTACTTCTTTATGGTATCAAGAGTCATACTCTAGCGAGATCCACAAAACAATTTTTTTTCCGTCAACACCATGAGTATCACCGCCACCACTACCGTGGTTCCCCTCACCGCCACCACCAATTTCCCGATCAAACTGACCGCTTCAAACTATCTTGTATGGAAGTGTCAGGTTCACTCTGCATTGATCGAACTTGGTCTCGATCCCTACATCGACGACACCCTTGAAGCTCCGTCCCCATTTCTTGATGACGCTAAAACACAACCAAATTCGTGTTATATCATCATGTATAGACAACACAAAACGATCCTCAGTGCTTTACTGGGAAGTTGCTCCGACACCATCCAACCAATCATCTCTGCCGCCACAACAGCACGACAAGCGTGGAACAAATTGGCCCTCACATATGCTAGCACCTCTCGAGGTCGGATTATTTCCCTCAAATCTGCCCTGGGTAAGGTCAAGAAAGGTACTCGTTCGGTCCAAGAATACCACACTGAGGTCTATGCTATTGCCCAAGACCTTGCACTCGCACAGAATCCAGTCCCCCAGGAAGATCTCATCATCATTATCATCAATAGCCTAGGCCCGGAGTACAACGACATCACATCGGCCATTCGGGTCAGGCCCACATCCCTACCATTGACTGAATTGCAAGACATTCTGAAGGAACAAGAGGAACGCGCCCAGACTGTGACCCCTGCGGAAATCAACATTCTGTCTACTGCAAATGCCACACAAGCCTATGGCCGGGGCTCTCCAGATCGGCGGTCTGGCTATGACCGTCGTGGCACATTTCCTAGACGGGGCCGTGGATTCCATCACGGTCAACAACCCCGTAATTCCAATTCCATGTGACGTACACTTTGTTGTGGTGTGCACTCAAAATAAATAAATACAAGACAACAATTATACGTAGTATAACGAAGTAAGGTTCGTATCCACAGGGAAAAGAATATCTTTCTTTTAATTAAATAATAGAAAGGGAGGATTTTGAGTTTGATTTGATTTAATGTAATTAACACTAAGATGAATGACTTATATGAGTTTAATTAATAGAGATGATGACATGGTTTTGCTTTTATCCACTTAATGAAATGTTTGTCGATCCCGGTTATATCTTTAACTATCTTCCTCTCGAATACTCAATCGAGGAGTATCTTCATTTCATCGAGGGTAGTTATTAATAACGAGACGCGTTCATTAATAAAATATACTACCGAGTCAATATAGAACACACGCCGGATATTAACCCAATAGTAGCAATAAACTTAAGATGAAAACGATTGAGATTGATAACCTCAACACAAACGGTTTATTGGTTTAATCAAAATAATTAATTCCCCCTAGATTATTAACCATGAGACGCATGCATTAACAATCGAAGTTTACTACCGTTGAAAGAATCGAACTAATAACAAGCGTATTAACCGATTGATTATAGTAATAATTAATATATGAAACAAAACTAGTTGATCCTTCAAGTAATGTTCAAAATATTAATATGAAATATGAATAGGAATTAATTAATATTCATGGAAGAAGATTAAAGAAAGTAAATGCTACTATAATTAATGTCGAGATGTTAACTAATTGTCATCTTAGCAACACTCCCCAACATTTATATAGAGCTAGATTAAATTAATATTCAAGGAAGAAGATTAAAGAAAATAACTCACAACTTACAATTCATTAAGCTTCAAAGTAGCAAAACCAAGATGAAAGAGTTTAGCTCCTCATTTGGAGACTAAACATGATGAAAATATAAAGAAAGAACTTATCTAGACTGAGCTTAGAAGTATGTGTGAATTGTTGCTTCTATTGTGAAGGAAAAGGGTTGTATTTATAGGTGTTTGGGGTATGCAGGGGTGTGTACCCGATCGGGCATATAGGGTACCTGATCGGGTACCTTCAGAGGCTTCCCGGGAGCTGTAAAAGTGGGGCATACTCGACCGGGTATGTCGGTCACCCGATCGGGTATGGACACTCGAACGTGGTTAAAATCTCCCCTGCGTGTTCCTTTGTTCAGGATCCGATCTGATTTGCAAAAACAACTAGGTACCCGATCAGGTATAGGTCATACCCGACCGGGTACAACTCAAAATTGCAATCTTCTACTTTTGTCTTGCTATTTTGCACCTTCCTTCCACTTTCTGGGTTCACCAATGGTCCCTTGAGTGATCATGGACCTGTTTGAGCTCAGAATAAATCTAATCTAAACAAATTACAAATATTTGTACAAACTAAACTATTACACCAAAAGTGTGTAATTTCCAAAGTAACAATCAATCAAAACTA